ATGATCTAAAAATCAATAGAATACTTGATTTTTCAGTTGAATTATTCTGTGAAAATGCAGAAAATTCAGGGAAAAATTGAAAATTCATGAAAATATTCATGTTTCACTGACAATTTAGTCAAGTTGTGAAATTGCTATCTCACTCCCCCTTAAAACTCATGAATTTCCTTGAATTCTACCTAAAACTAGAAATTTCATAACCATTTTTTTAACCATTAAAACTCCCGTTGTGGGAAATTTTACTCTACAGGAGAATAATTTTCGCATCCCCAGATGTGTTTTTTTTTACTAAATGAATACTAAAACATCCTTTACAAACGGGAATTTTTTCATTGAATTACATTTCCTTCCACAATTACCTTTCGTACAATAAAATTTGCCGCGATTTTCTAGATAATTTTTATCCAACTTTTCTCCTGGCGTATCTCAAAGTCAATAGTCACGGTATTATTATTAATTCGCAAATTAAAAATTATCCTAATTATATTCAGCCTCTCCGTCAATTCCAATCAGTTGCAACAAATTATATAGATCACATCTCACCATATTTTTACTGTTTGCATGTTCATTCGCTCTGAAGAGTGCATGAATAGGGGAAATTAAAAAAACTGGGGTTCATCCGAGCTCCCGCTCGTTGAAAAAAAAATACAATTAACGTAGTCGACCTACGCAGCGGTCGGTCACCTGCTCCCACCATTGATTATTCACCAGTTCAATGGAAAGTGGTATTTTAAAATTAACGAACTGTGAGATCATTAAAATATAGAATAATTCATGCAGATTTGCCCCACTAATGCGCGATAAATAATTGTCGAGTAATTTTCTACCATAAGGTATTAATATAAGTCTTTTAGAAATTAAAAAAGACATGAGTGGGTTAGCGGCCTTCCACCCTCTCGCCTCTCACCGGGAAATGAAAACTAATGAAATTTTTTTTCCACTCTCAACTCCCTTGATAATCCGTTAAAACCGAGGGCCAACAATGCTAATGAAAATTTCATAATCCTAGGGAATATGAAAACAAAAATAATAAAAGATTGCTATTAAAAACGGTACAGGGCACTCGTCACGATCGTTCCAGGAGACATTTTTCATTGTCCTGAGTTGTGTCCATGTGGACAGAACGGACCACGCGTGATGTGTAATAGATCGCTGGTGGGATACGGAAATAACAGAATATTCAGGAACATTTTGCTTTCAGGAAAACGAGGAAAACAATACGAGAGTAATGAAAGCACTTCACGCGGAGAAAAATGTTACAGAAAAATTAGCGAACGAGTCAAGTAATCGTGGAGGGAATACTTGTATCGAGAAATTCATGGCTTGAAAATTTCCAAGCGCACAATATCTCACGCTAAGAAAAAAAATCTTACACCAAGAAATTTTATACTCGTCCGCAAGATGAGGGCAATTGGTTCATGTCAAGAAAACGATTTCTCAAATTAGTTCATCTGATTTCTGCATTAAAATAATTTAGATTAGCGGCTAAAAAACTATTAATTGAATTAATTCATTCATAAATAAATCAAATTAAAAACAAATTCTTTCTTGTCATCAAAAAATTGTCGTCGTCTCTTGGAAATGGAGAATAATTTCTTACCGAACGCGAATATGAGGATAATTTTACAAACCGTTTTTTTTATTGAATTATATTTCGCTTCGGGATTACGTTCTGTACAATAAATTTTGCCAGGATTTTCTAGATAATTTTCATCCAACTTTTCTCGCCGCGCAACAACTCTCCGGCGTTGACATTGCTTCATCAAATAGTGAATTTAACCTAATGAACAAAAAATATCACTCCATACGACCTAATGGAAACGGAGGAGAGAACTCAAAAGTTTTTCAATTACAAACAAATCGCAGAATTGGCGAATTCTTTTTTTTAATTCTATACCCATCTCCAAACTTTCAATGGCTGATTTTTTCTCTAGTTCCAAACTCATGAAACTTTGATTCAGATTGACGTAGAATCACCGTCACTGGAGTTTTCACGTCAATTTTTTCATTCTATTCCCTTTTTTATTTCAAATTTTTGTTGGAGTGCTTTTACTTGTGACTACCGGAAATGGGGACTGGTATTTCCGTTGACTTTCGCTTATGTAAAGGGGGGAAAAACGGATAAATGGAAAATGTCAGGGATTGTTGTCGTCAACTTTGTGGGGGCCTCTGATAAAGCTAAACGATTTCGTTCGCTCGATTGACTGAAAAAGAAAGCAACGATCCGACACCGCTGATCAGGGTTGAATTTTTTCCGTTCTTTCTTTTTCATAGAGAAAAGGTAGACCTCAAATTGCGAATAAAAAACAGAATCTTCAATGGAATTAGCGCAAAAAAAACAATTTTTAAATAGAATTCTGATGAACTTTAAGAAAATTCTTATGGAGTTCCAATAGAATTTTTCACAGAAAACGCAAGGTTTTTCTACTAAATTTTTTGAGACGCGTTTTTATTTACTTTCGAGAAGAAAGGAATTATGATTTTTTTAGTAAGAATTATTTGGTACAAATTTTTCAGGTTTTTTCTCTAAATTTGATTGTGAAAAGCAGAAAATTTACACCCAAAAAATTCTACAGAAAAATAAAAATCTATTGAATTGAAATTAAATCAAAATTGATTGAAATTAATTCATTAATTTAATTGGATGTTTTTTCTCGTGTTGTTATTCACTTCTGGGCGAAACCGAGTCGTTTTGCGAAGAATAATCATTTTCATATTAATAATATTGTATTAGACATTTTTCTCATCGATGATTAGAAAGAATAATTATAAACTTAGTCTGCCACTACTTTTGGTAATTTTAACGAGGAATTTATGAGCGTGGAAATGGCGCGTGCCACGAAATTAACAAGAATATAGCCGGTTGATGGGTGGTGGGTGGAAATTGAGTTAAACTGAACCGCTATCCACATTGGTTTAATCTCCGCTGTTGTAGATTCAGCTTGGTAAAACGTTGATGAACACATTCGGTTTTAATTCCCCCAGATTTTCATGCAGATTCAAACGAAAACATGTCACTTATGGGCTTTTGCGGATCACAAATATTTGCGGTTTTTCGGTCACTCATTCTTCAGTCTACAGTTACGTAAAAAAAAAATTAATAGTGAAATGATTGTCAAATAAAAAATCAATAGAACTCGATTTTCTCATATATTTAATTCTATTGACATATTTTCTACGGAAGTTCCTCGGTTTTCATTTCCTAATTATTTTGTTCAATTTTTTTTAATGAAAAGAGGAAAACAATAAACTGGAAATTTATGACGTGAAATTCCTGTAAAAAATTTCTCCCATCAAAAGTTTTATTTCTCTATGAAACACTTTTTTATTGGACTTTTTTCCGTAAAAAAAGTAGTTCTTCAATTCAATTGATATCTTTCTATTTCACGTCTTATTATCGATGGGTACGACACACAATTATCACGAGAAAAATGGAGTGGGCATTGAATCAGCACTCGAAACGAACGGAAAAAGAGAGCAGACAAATGAGAGGAAGATTGCACGATACAAGAATGAGAGAATCTCAATGAAAATAAATTTTCCGGATGAAAAAATCGAGAGTAAACATGAAAAGTTCAACGGTCAATTACCGGTTGTAAAAACGTCAGGCAAACTATCCCCCTCCCCTCCTCTCTCTCTCTCTCTCTCTCTCTCTCTCTCTCTTTCTCTCTCTTTATGGTCCAATCAATTCTGAAGGAACGGTCCAGGGAAAGGGCTATGCCCATGGGATGAATCTGCTGACCAAGACTTGGATACTAATCCGCGGTGACCTTTCGATGTTTTATGCGCGTGCTGCACATACGGTATTATAACCCTGATTCCACTTGACAAATTTCTGTGACGTGCCGTCACTGAATATTCTACTTAATTCAATTTGCATGACACTCGGGTAATTATTTTATCGAAAATTAATTCCAGTAATTTTTTTTACAAGCCAACACTAATATTCTCGGAATTTTTTAATTGAAAATTTTTTTTAAATGGATATTTTATTTTAGACATTATTTTTTTATTTTATTCCTCGCAGGAACCAATTTATTTCGAATTTTTTTCAATTATTAATTTTTCTTCTGTCCGGTGAACAAGTAATACATGACGCATTTACGATAAATGCATTCTCATTACGGGGAGGTTCACCCCGGGAGAATGACATTTTATTATTCGTCGGATAAATTAAAATTCAGTAGCAAAGTGGTAAAACGGTTCAAGTTGACTTACCTCCCAGTTGAGTTTTTGAGGAATATTTCCGAATCTAAGGGAGATAGCGAAATTTTTGTCACTACATTTGTTGTAGGTCTCAATCAGCCCTACAAAAGAGATTATAACAAACATTTTGCTATCTCCCTTAGATTCCGAGATATTCATTGAAAACTGGCCGATAGTCAAAAATGACTTAAATCGTTTTACCACTTGGCTACTGAATTAATCATGAATATTTAAAATTACTCATGATTTATTTTTAAAAAGAAAAAAAAATCTTCAGAAAAGAAATGAGACATGCGTCCATTCTAGTGACTAATAAAAATAATGTAATAATAATAATAATATAACGGAAATGCACACATAATATAATTATAATGAAATAATAAAATGAAGATGAAAAAATAAGTGAAATTACTTTTTCCTCTGTGTACCCTTTCCCCTTTGCCTGTTTCCAGCTCCAGAAAAAAATTCGAGAAGCAAAGTTTTTAACACAAGTGCCGGGTGGTTACATAACCCAGTGCACTAATAACAACATTAAAATGCTTGAACTTAGTGTCATAAAGAAACCACCTGAAGTTGAATGTAAAGTTAGACCATCAGGACGATATTATATCTCATCCAAGTATTCATGAATTCATTTAGAACAATAAAAATTCCGTTATCGTGGATAAAAAAATTAGTACAGCCGAAGTGACATAATCGTAACACTCGCCCGCTACAGAATAAAAGGTTGACATTTATGAAAAAACATGAGGGTAATGTAACCTGCAAAATTTCTTGCTGAAGTTGGCAATGAGATGTCCAAAACCCGAGGAATTAACGATTTTGATCGCTCAAAGTTCAACTCTCCCTCGAGCGATGACTGCCAGTGTCCGGACACTCCGACCTCCTCGAAACGCCTCGAGAGACCCCCCCACCGGATAAACACGAGAGAATGCAGAAGTAAAAGAAATGTTGATCCTAAGAAAGTGAACAGAAGTCCCTCGAGTGGCTATGAAAAACCGGGGATTGAAAGGAGGTACACAAGGAGAGAAACTGCAGCATCTCCAGTTGTTAAAGTCACGAGTGTAGAAGTAATAAAAAGTTGGTCGAGAGACTGTCGTCTATGGGGGAAAGATAAAGAGAAATTGGTGAGAGGTAAAGCACGAAGAAAAATGAATGAAAATTTTTATTAATTTTTCGATTGTGCGGGGGAAGGATTTCAAGCCAAGAGCCTTTTTAATTCTAATCTACTTCTCTTTAAGGATGTTCAAGTAGTTTAGGGAATTTTTTCTGGGGAAAAACCTATTTAGAGTTTACAGAGTAGACCAAGAAAAGAAAAAAAAATTATTTGACCTTAGAAAACTTAAAAAATGATCTAAATATTTAATTGAAGAGGCCAGATTTTTCTGCAGGAATACAATAGATTCCCCTCCGCCTCACTTACATTCAGTCACCGCGATTCATTGTTAATCAATATTTGATGTCCCCAGATTCCTCATCAAACAGATCGTCCTCCTCCGGCAGTCCGAGCCCTCGAAATCCCCTCCAAAGAACCAAAATCCAGAATCCCCCCCCAAGATCCAAATCCCAGAATGAAAAACTTAAAAAATCCGACGCTGACTCCTGCAGCTGCTGTGACTGTATCGATTACCTGAGAGCTGAAAGATTAAAACTCCTCCGAGATTCAAAGAGGCACTCCAAATCCCGAGGCACTTTCACCCCTCACCCCGGCACGTGCCGTCCCCAAGGCTCCCCAACTCAAAAGTTGTGCAGTATGCTAAAGACTCGAGAAGCGAAACGTATCAGCGGCTGCACCTGCATAAACGACGATTGGAATCCCAGTTGCTCCATTGACTGCAGATGTCCCGAGAGTCCGATTGACATATCCGGTAGAACATATTCAAAGGCATCGAAAAAATCCACATTGACGAATGACAACGCAAAAGGTCCTGACGAGGACCATCAGGCCGAAAGCTCCTGCTCCTGCTCATCTCCAGATCAATCCCCCTCTCCCAAACTGAACCTCCGGGATCTCCGGCCGACGGTGGCAGCCCCCGGCGACTGGAGGAAATACGGCGAACACTTGAAAAAATTCAGCGATGAGTACAGACTCCTATCATCCCATCTGAAATCAATCCGTCGGGAGCTTGAGGCAGCGAAAAAACCCGGAGAGACCTTTCGCAAAAGGATAACCCGACGCTATCCGAACAAGGAGTTCTCCTTTGAAGTTCGATCCACGGGGGACAACTCGCACAGAAAGAACACGTCGACCTGTTTGGAACCGGAGAGGATCGATCGTTCGTGCCAATGTCCGAATCCTCAGGACCTTCCGAAAGCAATCACAGCAATGCAACCAAAATTTCGGAGACCAGATCTTTCGGATCCTCTTTGCAGCTGTCAGAAGGCAGCAATGCGACCAAAATTCTTGGATTCACCTGAGGGATCGAATCATAAAAATCACCGGAGACAAGAGGGTGGGAAAAGCAAGGTCTTCGCCTGCAAGACATCCCGCTGTGATTGTAAACCAGAAGCGAAAGCCAAAGCGAAATCCGTAGCTGAAGATTTGGATAAAATCGGAGATGATAATGACAAATTTGACCAGAAAAAATTGAGAAGGAGCAGACAGAAGAGACGAATCAGGCGGCACGACTTCTCCCTCCCGAGGATTGTGCCGGTGAATAGGGACGGCAGGAGTCGGGATGAGAACAGAATGATGATCTATCCTCCGAAGGACCAGGTGGGCTGTCCTCTGACCCTCTACAAGAGCGGATCCTTCGTCAACTGCTCTGTCGAGCAAGTTGACGACGTTGGGTTCAAGTACGATGTCTCTTATATTCAGAGATACGTCAGTCGACCTTGGCAGCCCGGAGAATATTCCGAACCGGACGTCAAGTCGGACTACCTCAGCACCGACGATTACGGCTGACGAAAATGAAAAACAGGAGTTTTAAGTGATCATCAACAAATCCAGTGGATAGAACGACTGGCTAAAGCCCGATCTCTAAATAGCTAATCGAATATACTATAGGGAAGAGGAAACTTTCTGAGAGCAAACTCCCTGACCCAAATTATATTTTTATAGACTTGTACATTTGCTGAAGATCGTAATAAAGCCAACTTTTGATATTTCTCGGGTTCATTCAAGTGGCGTCAAAGGAGTTTATAATTGATGTTGCAAGCGTGCCGCTGGTCATTAGTCATGGAAAAAGGACAATATGGGGTTATACTTTCTTTATTCTCACCACACGAAAAGTACGAATGGTGGTTGGGTAGGTACTCTCGTTAACAGATGCTCTCGTTCGCTTTGTGGGGAAGTATGGCTGTGATCATTCGTTAGATCATAAATTGACGATGTTGGGTTTAAGTATGAAGTCTCTTAGGCAGCCCGGAACATATTCCGAACCGAACGTCATGTCGGACTACCTCAGCACCGATGATTACGGCTGATGATAGTAAAAAACATAGGAGTTTGAATTAAACATCAACGGATCCACTGGACGGAACGAGTGGCTGAAGCCCGATCTCTAAATAGCTAATTGAATATACTAGAGGGAAGAGGAAACTCTCTGAGAGCAAACTCCCTGACCCAAATTATATTTTTATAGACTTGTACATTTCCTGAAGATCGAAATAAAGCTAACTTTTGATATTTCTCGGGCTCATTCGAGCGGGATCAAAGGAGTTCATAATTGATGTTGCAAGCGTGCCGCTGGTCATTAGTCATGGATAAAGGACAATATGGGGTTATACTTTCTTTATTCTCACCACACGAAAAGTACGAATGGTGGTTGGGTAGGTACTCTCGTTAACAGATGCTCTCGTTCGCTTTGTGGGGAAGTATGGCTGTGATCATTCGTTAGATCATAAATTGACGATGTTGGGTTTAAGTATGAAGTCTCTTAGGCAGCCCGGAACATATTCCGAACCGAACGTCATGTCGGACTACCTCAGCACCGATGATTACGGCTGATGATAGTAAAAAACATAGGAGTTTGAATTAAACATCAACGGATCCACTGGACGGAACGAGTGGCTGAAGCCCGATCTCTAAATAGCTAATTGAATATACTAGAGGGAAGAGGAAACTCTCTGAGAGCAAACTCCCTGACCCAAATTATATTTTTATAGACTTGTACATTNGGGGGGGGGGGGGGTTATACTTTCTTTATTCTCACCACGCGAAAAGTACGAATGGTGGTTGGGTATGTATTCTTGATAACAGGTGCTCTCGTTCTCTTTGTGGGGGAGTTTGGGAGTTGTGACTTATTCATTAGCCCATGAAATATTTCTCTGACCTTTTAGCGACACTGTACTTATTCTGTTCTTTGCAATGGCTGTTTTCTTGCATTCTTGCTAGCTCGGGTTTTATTAGGAAGGCAAATTCTGGGGGAGCATGAAGGGGTGAGTGCTGATTTTCAAAAGGAAGATTATGGTGATGAGACGGGACTTTTGTCAACTCTAGGGATTTCCTCTTAAATGAGATTATCTTTGGTTTATGTCAAGAACGAAGAAAATAATGAGTGATTGTATCGAATAGGAAAATGGTATTAATTAACACGATAATATTGTTGCGTATCCCGTATTACGTTATTTTATCTTTTGCATTCTCAATGGGAAGTTATCAACGAAAACACATGGCCCTGTGCGTCCTCTCCAATCATTTATTAATAAACCGCCCCAATCCGTTTAATTAATTGTGTTTGTGTCTCACTCATTTCGTTGGATAAAACAATATTGATGGGGAATATTGTTGTAATTGTATTCGTGAATATCTCTGTTGATAATTTGTCCAGGCAATCTATTGAATTCGTAACAATAGAGTAATTTTCTACTAATTGGAAATCTTCACGATAATTGATGTTTAATTGCAGTCACAGATAATTTCTAGGTTTAAGTCGGAGATCATTCGCTCTGCATAGAATTGGAAATCGTTCAAACAATTGCGAATGGATCTTTGTTCTCTCCAACTTGCCACCGGTGAATCGAAGCTCTTCGGGGAGTGATTTCAATATGGTTTAGGCACTTGTGGATGAGTTTAGAGGGATAGCTGGAGAATGGGACATGAGAGGGCCATTAAACTTTGGTCGTTTGATCAAGCATGTCGAGGCACCAAAGGTCATCGAATTCTTCATGCAAATTGCGGTGACCCGAATTGCAAAAAACTGTTTGAAAGAATTTAAACGGAAAAAAAATCATCAACATGTGTTAAAATTTATTCATCAATGCGCGAGGTCCTGATGCTTGGGGTAATTCATAGAATGGAAAAATATAGAGCATGTGTATCTGGAGGGGAAAAACTGAAGCGTGAACGCAGTACGTCCCTGAGGAAATCGATTCTGTGCATTAGTACAAACTGGAGGGGAAAAAAATCTCACGCGCGATCAGAAATATCGTACCTCACCCTCTGACTTACCTAGTACAGTTGTTGGGAGTTCGGGATCCGCACGATCTGAAAGGAAAGTCAATGTGAATCATGAGAAAATGTGAGATAATTTTAAACAATTTAATCTACTTGGAGGACTCTCGCATTCAAACTACTTTCTAAATTACTTTTGATACATATTTTAAAATTCGTTTATTTTTCCAGTTTGTCTTCTGGAAAATACGAGAAGAATTAATATGTAATGACGAGGTGTGAGTTAGCAGCGCTGATTCACTCAGCTGTTAGGGTTATGCCACAATGAATGCAACGCCGGATGTACGTAACGCTTGCAATTGTAAAAAATAATCCAAAAACAGGTAAATTTCGCGGTCCATTCATTGTGACATCTCCCTTACGTTCACTCCTACAGCGAAATGTATCATCACAATTCCATTCGTATTTGCCGCGCTCACCCCTCCGCAATTCCTAACCTCGACGCTCTCGCTATTCCGTGCTGCGCACGCAGAATTTCTGGGACACCAACGGTATCTGGCGAATGTTGCGAGATGCATTCTCCTAAGAATGAATACATCAAGCTGTGATTGCCCGGGCAACCCTTGCGCATTCATCAAGCATTAATTACATCAACTCAGGGGTTGTTTCCCCTATTCATGACATCCCCGGCTAAAGAAAAATTATGAAAACTTCCGGTTGCTTATCTAGCCCCCCACCCATTTCTTTCAAGTATCGCCATAAATCGGTTTTCCAACCCGCTGATCCCCATCTACCACAGTTCGCTCAAACTGGTCCGCATTGTAATACTCCTGAGAAAAGCCTGCCCCCGAAATCCTAATTAAGCATCAATGAATAATGAAACGTTAATGATTACAATGTGAATCCCTCCAGAAATCGTTTCCCGAAGAGGAAGAGGCGGAAGTGAGACTTAGTGCGGCGCTGCGATAAACTAATGCACGATAGCTTTTACCCCTCGCACGGTATTCCATTTTCTTTATCAAGCCAGAGCTTTTAAGGCAGTTTGCACGGTGATAAGATAATACGTAATTTTTTTATTCTTGTTTACTCTACCGCACAGATTATCCAGGCTAAAATGACGCGAAAGAGCTTGATAATGAGCAAAAAATGTACTACACTGTGAAAATTTCAGAGACCCTATTGATATGGATTAGGTCAGACTAAATGATGCCCGAGGAACGTAATTTTTAGCTGCGCCGGAAGTTCAGGTCTTGCGGGAGTACTTCACGAGCTTTTTCAGAGAGTAACAATAGTGCACTTTCATGGGCGCAGAATTTTAAAGTGCAAAGTGTTTGAACGAACGTTTGCACCGCCGTAGGCGGGTAACGACCTCGCGAATGCTGTTGCAAGAAAAAGGTATTGTCGAATTATTTTATTTATGAGCTGGGGATGTAGCGGAAATTTTCACGGTTTAAGGTTACCGTCTTCGTTTTATCTCCGTTCGTTAGGGGTGAGAAGCGGTCATCGGAGGGTTTATTGACAAACAATAGGAATCTTGCATGAAGCTCAATTCTTTCTAATTCCCCTATTGACATATTTCTCGTAACACGTGAACAGCTAAACTGCGGGAATTGTAGAGAAATATTGTTTAGATATCTTACGTCTTGATTAATTATTCATTAATGAGCAATATTTCGAATATTTGTGAATGAAAAATGAATTCAGTAGCGAAGTGGTAAAACGGTACAAGTCATTTTTGACTATTGACCAGTTTTCAATGAATATCTCGGAATCTAAGGGAGATAGCAAAATTGTTGTTAGAACCTTTTTTGTAGAGCCGATTGAGAGCTACAATAAACGTAATTATGAAAATTTCGCTAGGTCCCTTAGATTGCGAGATAAGTCGACTTGAACCGTTTTACCACTTCGCTACTGAATTATTCAGGTCCCAAACTTCAGATTAGAAAATGGAAAAAAATTCAGGTAAGTTCCCTATTGACCAAATGCTGGGGGAAAGGGTGCCTGTACCGCTCACCTAAGGGGAAATGTCAATTTTGCATCTTGAACCGTTACCCAGAATAAGAAAAATTTTTAAGTCTGCTTTGACTATTCGAAATTTTTTTTCTTTCTGCGGGTCATTAATAATTACTCTAAATGAATTTCCTCCGAGGGCGTATATCACCGAGTAGCGCGATAACGATATTGCGATACAGATTTACGCGTTGTTGAAGCTTCCTCACAGCCAATAAATAAATGTCAGAATAAAAATTACGGAGCGATAAGCGTGGTCAGCGCTGCACCAGTTTCCAAGATAAAAGGATTGGGGCTGTCTGCACCAATCGAAGGGCCGGCAGTCAGAGCCGATGCATGTCAAGAAAGCCTGACAATGTGTTGAAATGGAACCGACAAATGGTGAAGACAAAGAGGAATCCACAATGAGTTTTCATCGCGAAATGAATTTCGGCGGCTCGCTGGCCTTTCTCTTTATTATTTCCATTTTTCCTGGTTCTTTAATGTCCCTTTGTGACGGTGAAATAGATTCTTCTTGTTGCGCGCCGGTGAACTGAATTTTTAGTTATAATAGACAGTCGCAAAAAAACTTGATTCAAACCGATTTTTCGACTTTATTCAGAAAAATTTTTTTGTTTCCAAATAAAATGGGAAAATGTGATTCTACACATTTGTGCTTCTAGGGAAAAAAAATTCGCATATGTCGAAGATTCTTCCGTGAGATACGACATTTTCAGTGGATATTTCAGGCCAACAGATATTTTGGATTGAATGAATCCACTTGCTCTCAAATGCGCGTTTCCCATGAAAGATCATCGGTATTGACGACCTTCGAGACATAACGAGGCTATTCATCGGTCTATGGTACATCCGGATTCAATCAGTTATAATTACTAATTAATACCCGCAACAGTGCAAAGGTGACAGTAATTCACACACACGTCCTTTGAATAAATCCCCTCCTCCCCCGCGCCATTATCTCATTCACAGAATCTCTTAATGTGGATTGATACTGCAGACTCATTTACAGGAATCAAATCAACACTGCTCCCCCGACCATGAATCCAGTTACAGAGAATGTTTTTTTTATCTAGTACTCGCTTCTCGATTTTTCGATGTTTTTTTTCGTCCAATCAAAAAAATGCATCAAAGCGAAAAATAAATCCTGGGTTCCTTGGGAATACCACACGATACAACAATTGGTGTAGTTTCATTCGGCAGTGTAGGGAAGTGGGTTAGAATAGCGCAGGGAGCAAGAGATAAAAATAAAAACGGGATTTTTGTTTTATTTTTTCAGTTGGGATTATGGGGAATGTTTTCTGGGCGAAAATTGAGTGAAAAGGGTCTGAACTGGTTTCATTCGAACGTGGATTACAAAATAAAGATGCAAAAAACATCAAAATTTGATTTGAAAAATCGTTTTTACACGGAAGGAAAAATACTTGATTCAATTATATTTTGTTATATTCGAATGGGGGATGGGGGTTCAATTCGAGGGTGATTATTTCGTATCAGCCCGGGTTGTGCGAAATAATGAGCGCTCTCAAGTGTAATATAAGGGTCAGACACTAAGTGTGAGAATATGAGGGTCATAAAGTGGAGGTTAAAAAATGAGGTTGGAATATTAGAGCCAAAAACTGAGGGAAAATTTCACAGAAATCCCCAGAAATTTTACCTTAACAGCACTAGAATTTTTCACAGCCAGTGGATTGTGATTTTTTCCAGTACTCGTACTAGAATTTTTCTAGAAAATTTCTCTCCGTGTAACGTTTTCATTTCTCTTTCAGGAGAACAGTGTTGCGATAGTATTTTCGATTACTCGCCTCCACATGTCTCATTCGACATAGTTGAGAACACAATATCGGAATATTTGAATTTCAAGTCACAAATGATGGTGACAAATGTGTAGGTAGCACGATGAGGGAGAGATGTTTCAAAGGACGTAGATGCGTTTGATGATCGATGGTTGTGTGTATTAGAATATGATGAGAATACAGTGGCATATCGAATGTTGTGAATGTTATCACTCGATGAACTCTGATGAATATAAAATAGGACTGATACACTGTTCACTGTAAATGGTCAATTTCCATGTGGCGAAGATGGAACACTAATACTGCTTCCAAAATTAAATTTCCCCTTCGACATGGAAGATTATAGTCTATCTATTGTATTGCGCGGATGAATATTCTGTATGGAAATGAGACTCGTCCTCAGCCGATGAACACGGGCTTATCCGCCTTTGGAGGAGAGTTACATTGGTGGTGCAGTTTTGAATAAGAAATCAGGGAGACCGGCTTCAGAAATACGACGTAACGAGGAGGAGAAGATGGATGGCTGGAGTCAGAGGAGAGAAAACTATGAAAGAGAAGAAATCTTTGAGTGGATGAACTGCGAAATGGAGTGGTGAAAAGCGCATGCATTAAAGTAATAAGAACTTTAGTGCTGCTTCACTGTTCCTCACGCCTTTCGCTTTTCGGAGGGAAAGTCGACTTTCGCCAAAATCGAATTTTTTGGCCGGGTGAACGTCGATTCCGTATTTTCTGGCCCGCCTAATGCCACTGGGCCCTTCACTTGCCCCAGAAAAGCAGAAATAAAAAAAAAATTTTTTTTTTTATTTCTGCATTTCTGGGGCAAGTGAAGGGCGCAGTGGCATTAGGCGGGCCAGGAAATACAGAATCAGCGTTCACCCGGCGGAAAAATTCGATTTTGGCGAAAGTCGACTTTCCCCCCGAAAAAAGGCTAAATATGGCCCTTTGGCTCCGGGTGGAAAATTTTATTTTTTTTATTTCTGCATTTCTGGGGCAAGTGAAGGGCGCAGTGGCATTAGGCGGGCCAGGAAATACAGAATCAGCGTTCACCCGGCGGAAAAATTCGATTTTGGCGAAAGTCGACTTTCCCCCCGAAAAAAGGCTAAATATGGCCCTTTGGCTCCGGGTGGAAAATTTTATTTTTTTTATTTCTGCATTTCTGGGGCAAGTGAAGGGCGCAGTGGCATTAGGCGGGCCAGGAAATACAGAATCAGCGTTCACCCGGCGGAAAAATTCGATTTTGGCGAAAGTCGACTTTCCCCCCGAAAAAAGGCTAAATATGGCCCTTTGGCT